AATTGTGGGGAACAACTCAATTTTTAAATAACAAAATAGAGAAGTAAAAGAGCTTGGTCAGAAGTAGTACTTTTTTCCCATATCTTTATTAATGGATTTTTAAAATTGTTTTATAACTTTTAAAATAGAGTAAACTGTTATAAATGATGTTTGTTAGTAGTATTGCATATATAAGGCTTGAGCCAAAATGGCTCAAGCTTTCTCGACTCCAGGCTGAAGTCTTAAGAGCTCGGCGTTCCAGGTTCGAGCCTTACCTGTTTTTTTTTTAACTGTTTATTCACATTAGGTTTCGGAAATATATTCACATTGTTACTACCAGAAGAAAAATAATAATATATACACATTATATTTCAGAAATATATTCACATTGTTACTACCAACAGAGAGAAAAATATATATTAAGTTTTTTTTTTCCTAAAGACAAATCAACCCTCGAACCTTGAAGGTGCGAGGTCCAAAGCCTCTACAGTTTTTACAACATTACATCAAACGCATACAATATTTCCAGTCCTGAGTATTACGAACAATTGTCCATACTCCATTCTTTGTAAGCAATAGTATAATATACGATTCTTTTCGACCACATCCCTCTAATCTCTAATAAGCTCCACCCAACAATCCTCCAAAAGGTTGAAACGGGAGTGGCTCTGGCACCTTTAGTAAATATTTTAAATGCAGTTTCGGCATTTGACAGATCCTTCATTAAAACCTCCTGGAGTTCGACTTTTCGTTGTACAGGTGGGAGACAAGTCTGATTCGGAGTTTCCGTTGTTGATTGCAAATATTGTATAAAAAGTAGGCCTGTATTGAAGATGTATATTTTATTATTATTTTTTTTTTTTAATTTGATAATACATACTATTTTATTTATTTATTATATTATGTAAATATTGTGTGGAGGAACTCATAATTCACTATTACTAAAGTCATTTAACATTAACCAAATACAAATTAAAAATATATATATTTTAGATCTTGTGACAAAAGAATCTGAAGTATGATTGAATCTGTAATGCTTAAATAAAAACGTTTTTTACTGAAAATGATTTAAAAGAAAGTTAATATAACAACAGTTAATACTGGGATCGCGTGGTGTTCATATACTATACAGCGCCGGCCTCAGAATGATGAAAAAGAGGCAATTGCCCCGGGGCGCGGGACTATCTTTAGGGGCGCTCACCGCTTGCTATAAATTAAAAAAATATCTGGGGCAGCGCGCGCATCACACGACCTTCACTTACCACCCTCTTCTTGCAGAGATAAGTATTTTCAGACAAAATGAGGTGAAAGTAAAAATGATAGACTCTATATTTATTTATATTTCATTGTGGGTATTTTTATTTGTATAAGTACCCTCATGTATACAAATTTTAATATTTATATCACTGTAATCTATACAATTAAATACTAAATAATACCATATATGTATATTTATATAATATTGAGCCCGTATTATATTATTCTCATGATACGTATGGAAGCGTGTTCTAATCTTTCGGGCGAGCATGGGTTCGCTCGTATTCCTTTGGTTCCTCAATTAGAACTATTCTCCGTTACGATTTCTTATTTCTCCTTTAGCTATTCATCAAATTCTTTCATATTTGATATTTAACTATTTTTCATATTAGAAATTAATGTGAAATAGTCAATTGTTTCAACTAAAAAAAAGTACTTTAGAAGAAGCTAATATTGAAAATTAGCCATTTAAGCACCATTAGAGAACATCAATCAAAATAATAACCACATTTTATTTAAAACTGCTTTGTTTTACACTGATATGATGAATTTAATCAAATTCGTTAGAGTGGTTTTCGAGATGATCGTAAAAATGTGTTTAGTCCATGATATAAAGTGCCACTTCCGGTTAGCCAATTTCGACGAAAAAGTTGCTGTAACATCTCTAGCATTTAAGAACCTTAATTATGCAATTTCACTTCTGTACGACTTGTCGTTTTTGAGCTAGACTGTTAACACAGACAAAGACACACACACACAGACCATTTTGCGGGACTTAGTTATGGACTCAGAGGACCTCAAAACGTGCATTTCCGTTGAAAACTCATATTAAAAAATTTTCACGATCGCAATACCTACCCTTATATATATTACATATATAATAGACGTAAGTAAAAGTAAAAAAAATACAAAACGTCTTAAAACAATTAATTTTAGCGTATCAATATAGAAACTAGATAAATAGTGAATGAAATAAAATTCTGCTTAAAAAATAGATTTAATTTTTTTATAGGGGGGAGAGGTGACGTCATTGGCCGGGGGCGCCGTATATCTAAGGCCGGCACTGTTCATATGATGAATTCTATGTGGGAAAGAAATCATTCTACATACCTCATCAATAACTGACAGAGAGAGTTAAAAAGAGAGGCCGATGAGAGGGTTGTGTTGTAGTCAGGAATTATAAATAAAGCTTCCAGTCAAAGCGGTAATATCGACATTGAATATTCAGTCTCTACAATATTTTTGAGCACAGCTATGTGGAATGTCGTATTTTTAACTGTGAATATAGCGAACGCAAAATAAATTAGTGAATCTCTATAAAAATAAATCAATAGAAGGAGCTGAGATTAAAAAAAATTAGGACTGACTTCCACAATTTATTTTTCATTAAGCTGTATTATGCTAGAGTGAACGATATGACCCAACTGTTCTTAGATTACATCAATTTATTTATGAAGTCGATAAAATAGGAAACGGGAAACCCCTTCCTAAACCCCCTTTGCTCCCAACCGATCACAAATCACCTTCCGGGTCAATGCTGACAAGACAATGGAATACTTTCCACGGAATAGAGCAGTTTCCATTCTATTAATTATTGAAGACATCCATGGAAATAATGTGATCAAGAAACTAGGACATTATCTGGGAATATTTCAGGAGGAAAAAAATAGGCAAACATATAATCGTCAGCAAAGTAAAATGATGTTCCTCTATAAAATTTACCAGGTTTTACTTTATAGGTCGAACAACTGAACAACATGCGAACAAAACAGATATTAAAATTGAAGTTTGAAAAATATAGCAAAAGAAAAAAAGTTAAACTTCGAGGAATGATATTCTGCTCTATGACCTGTATTCAGTCCCACTAAAATGTTAATAATCCATGGTAGTAGTACCAGTAACAATTAACTACAGCTTATACGTTAAGGAACATGAAAATGGTGTTTTCCTTCCGCTATCCTCCTCGAAAAACAGAAAGGAACGAAAAAAAGAAGAATGCTTCAACATTCCAAGGTTCAGCCAAAAATAATTGCAGGTATACTTTCTAAAGATCTTGCGAAATTGGCTGCAAACTTCCTTTTTTAAATCCATTATTTCTTCCAGGATGTGGTGCAGAATATTAATTCGGTTAGAATTTCAGCATGTTTTCGATATGTTAATCTGTTTTCTTCCTGAACCATAAGCTAGAGTTAAGGGCACAGTACAACATAGAATTTGAGTTAGAAAATTATAGGGATTAGAATTTCAGAAATGTACAAAAGAGGAATGATGGGACAACCACTCAGCATTCCCGATTAAGATAAGATTGAAATTATATAATATATATAAATATTTATATAATTTCTGTGTTGGTTTAAATACAAAACAAACATTGTTCTTAACACATGTTAAGATGACGTGATGGCCAAGCATGTTAAAAACGTGGATCCCAGAGTGCGGAGTTCAGAGGGGTTGTGAGTTCGATTCCCACCTTGATCGATTAATATTTATTTCTCTACAGTACCGAGAAATGACTCTTGACACTCCCACTATAAGCACGCGTTGAAAACCTCAAGATAGCCGTCAAGTGTTGGCAAAATGATCACAGGGCCTATTTCCTAGACTAATTCTACCCATCAGTGACCGTTACACATATTAAATAGTGATCAGAAATGAATTTTATTCAATAATATTTTACGCTTTATTAGTTCAGATACGCAAAGATTATTAAAACGTTAACGTTAAAATATTAACAAAACATATAAATCAAGATTTCATTTGAATGCTTTAAAACATTCCAAGAATATTTCATAAAACGCGTATTATTTTACATACTTTCAGTATTTAATAATTAATATTTTTAATGACAAAAAGTAAGCAATACAATAAAAATAAAAATAATGCATCGCATCGAGAATTTGTACGAAACAAGTGGTTTTCACTGTTCTGTCTCCTCAAGCTTTAGCATTTTAAGAACTGATTGAAAGGTTGAGATGAAAAGATTTATACGTGGAATTTTGAAAAAAAAAAAAACATATTGCTAAGGAATAAAGTGTAAATTGATAAATTTAAAATACTTTCTATTTATATATTATATGATGAGAACCGAGTTGATAAATATTCCAAGCGTGGATACAAGCCTGCCTTATAGCGGGTAAAGGTGATCAGAATTCAGTTTGCACAGAAAACAAAAAATACTTCCCTTATTACCTTCATCCATCCACCTTTCAATTATGTATGAACCACAGAGATACCGAGCTTACGGAAAATGTATGAGGCCTCCCAAATAGGATAGATCACAGGATAAATAAGACCACATGTCAAAGGAGCAGCAGAATGAGGTCAGAGCTCTTGCTGCCTGTTGCTGGTCGGCAGCAACTTCCTCCCATTTACAGCGCGGCCTATCGCTACATGCCAATAACGACAGCTATCTACAAGGCTGAGCGAGGGTCGCTCTCGAGTACGGCTTTCTTCAAGTAACCATCTATAATCTACTGAATGTCAGTATTAATCAAAGATAGTAGGTAATATATAATAAACTTGTGTTCATACTACGGTGTGATGCAACAAACCGGATATTTCATGTAGGTTCAATTGAATGGATGTAAAAACTCTTTATCTCTGAATGACCATGACAGAAAATTAATGAAAATACAATTTAAGACCGTGATGGATATAAATAAACGAACTGAGAGAGAAATAAACTACACCCACGCATAATACCCAAAGATACGCGAAGAGCTTTTATGTTTAATATATAATTTAATGTAAATTAGTTTTATGAATTATCTTTTCGAGCGACGTGAAGGGTACACGATGGGTACACGTACGAGGCAATCATAGCCAACAGAATCCCATCCAATGCCTAACCAGGCCTCTTCAATCTTCCAGCACAGCGCTGGCGTTACGAATTTCTGCTCAACCAGTAAGGGTTTCGCCTATCAGAATGAAATTAACCGTTTAAGTTATTTTACTCAATATTCAAGTATATTCTATTTATTTAACTACAATAAAGTAATTCTATTTTTCTCTTTTAATGCTAATGGAATTCCATGTTCAAGATTAGAAATGGAATAACTGACATTTTCATAAATCCTAACCCAAAAAGAAATAAATCCAGATAAATGTTCACACAGTATTATAAGGAAATAAATTTAAAAATATCACTAATTTGTCGATTTCACTCATTGGCACATACCATGGGCGGAAAGAGAGGAGAGGAACCTGCGGTCCGCGTATTACCTCCGTGAGCTAGAATTAATTAATATTAAATTATTTAGTTCACGAAAATTTGAAAATTAATAGAATAAGTTGAATAGAAGGTGTGTGTGTGTGTATTACTGATAGCAAAAGTAAAATATTAAAATTTGTTGCGACCTACGTTTGCCACTACCTAACATTACTGCGGCCTGATAGAAAGGTTTCTCAACCATGGTATATACTCTTTATATTAAAATAGAAAATGAGTAGTTAGGAAGATGGAGGAAAAATAAATTTAAAGTAAGACTACTGGTACAAATTATTGAGGTATTCCAAAGAACAGGTAAATCAAAATAATGATTTTCCAAATTATGCGATTCTATGAGAGTAAGCTGACAGGTCCATCTATTGAGGTCTTGATTAAAAGAAGAGAGCGAAGGAACGCACAATGGAATCAAGATTATATCGAGCTAGTTCGAAGATATTGGAATATAAAAGTAATCAAAAGTATTCCCGTAGGAAATAAGGGATAATGTTCCCCTAACTCGAAATACAGTCATGGTGCGTCAGAATGAGATTTAAAACTTCAAAAAATGATTTTACATAACTTTACTATTTAATCTTATTATATAAATCCAGGCAGACAGCCCTAACCAGATTGTATATCAACGGCCTATTACAAATAATCAGGGTAAATAGGAAACTAGATAAACTAAGATAACTATGAGCAGCCTAGTGATAATCTATTTTAAAAATTATAAATATTGACATGATCACGAAATCAGTCAATTCCTAACCTAATAAGAAGTAAAAATCGAGTTACAATTGCATTAAATTAATAACAACTTTAATATGATTCAATCACAAATTAGATTGATTTAAAAAATAACCTAATAGACCTTAATAATTCAAAGAACCTATAGACTTGAATTTATAAACAATACAATTTATCTGAATCGTTCAAATTTCTCATGATAAAAACCGTCAATTTATGATTATTATAAACGTGTACTTGAATAATTAGAACTTTTTTGACGGTTCATTTTTACTTCCACTTAGGCATAAATGTAATATATAATATGGGTAAGTTATGTAACCGTGAAAATTTTTGAATCTGAGTTTTCAACGAAAATACACGTTTTAAGAATTAATAAATACACCCCTGAGTCCAAATAACCAAGTCCCGGAAAACGGTCTGTGTGTCTCTGTGTATGTGAAATCTAGCTCAAAAACCAAAAGTTTTACGAAACTGATATCACGTATTTAAGATAGGTATATGCCTTTGATGTGACAGCAACTTTTTCCTTAAAATCGGCTAACCGGAAGCGCCACTTTATATCAACGGTGAAACACATTATTACAATTTTCTCAAAAACGGCTCTAACGAGTTTTATTAAAGTCGGTGTATCATTGTATAATTAAGTGGTCTTTAAGATCATTTTGGTCTTATCCTCATGTATGTCACTTTACAGGGCTTAAATACCCAATTTTCATATACCTATTCCTCTAAAGTACCTTTATCATGTCTTTAAAAAAAGAAAAAAAAAGTAACGCTCTTTTATTGACAGTAACTATAAAAAATAGCTAAATATGAAATTTGAAAGAATATGATAATTGGAAACTGGAGAAAAAAGAAAAATATATATAATAATTTCAGAAAATTAAAATTATTTAACATAATGTTTCCAAGAAAATTAAATGAAAATGGAGTTAAAGTGTTGCCAGATTTTTTTTCTTTGCCTAACAATGCAAAACAAAGGCAGTTGAGAATTCAATTTTTGTTATTATAACTTTTTAATATTATCATGAAGGTGCTAGCAATACATAAATCCTACACAACAAATACATAATAGTAACACGTATATCCTACATCAGTTATACTTATCAAGGAGGAAAAAAATTATTAAAAGAGCCAGATGCTGTATTGACAGAACAATCTGTCAATTCAGTTCTCATTTGTTGACGAATTTTACAGTGTAAATATACATAAAAGTGTTAATTTAACGCTAGGTTACAATTGCAAAATTCCAACTACATAGCCTTATGCAATCAAAAATGCAGGCGCAAAGACAACAACCAGTCAACGTTTCGCTAATTCAGGCATCACGTAGACAGAAGAGAAAAATAAATCGAACAATATCCTGTGACACCCAATCCTTTACTCTTTTTCTTGAAGTTTTTTGCAATTTCTGAATTATCTTGAATAAAGGACGAAGTTTTGGTTTTCCGAATTTTATTAGTGCTTTATTGTTTTACATGCGTATTAACTTCTTTCTCTCCCAAAAGTCAATACAGAGAGCTTAACTGAACTCAATGAACACAAAGCACCTTTCATAGATATCAATAAACATTTCTCTAATACACACCTCTCACTTAATGAATACCTCAGTATTCATAAACTTGAGATTCTGAAATTTCTGATATTGTATCTGAAAAGGAAAAGAATGAGAAAAAATAAAATAAATAAAAGCTGAGTCCCTATTTTCTTACTATAATAAATATGCAATCGTTTCTACTTATTTCTCATTAACAGCTTTGATTTCCACTTTAATTGAATTTTTCCCTTTATTCTATAGCTTATCAACTACAAGAAACAATTAATATTAACTTTCTTCGAAATCTATGTATCTTTCGGAACTTCCCAGTTACTCATATTACAAACAATCAAATAGTAAAAAAAAAAATTGGTGCAACACACAACTTTCACTTACCGCTCTACTTTGAATAGAAATTATTTTCTGGCAATGTTGGGCTATTATAAAATTTTAAACGGAGCTAAAGCTTAAAGCTTATAGATAACAAATCATTCAGACCATTAAAATTACAAATATTCCATTCATTATATCGACGGAAGGGAATAAAAATTTAATTACTTCATCTGCTTTTATAAACCACACAACTTCAGTCACTGAGCCTTTCAGTTGACAGAATAACTAGCTCCAATTTCAACATTTCCAATTATCATATTATATCAAACTTCATATTTAGTCATTTTTTTATAGTTACTGTCAATAAAAGAGCGTTATTTTCTTTTGTTGAGGTACTTTAGAGGAAGACGTATAAGAAAATTGGGTATTTAAGCCCTGTAAAGTGACATCAATGGGGATAAGACCAAAATGATATTAAATACCACATAATTATACAATGATACACCGAGTTTAATCAAAACCGTTAGAGCCGTTTTTGAGAAAATTGTAAAACATGTTTTTCACCGTTGATATAAAGTGATACTTCCGGTTAGCCGATTTTAAGGAAAAAGTTGCTGTCACATCAAAGGCATATACCTATCTTAAATACGCAATATCAGTTTCGTACTGTTTTTGAGCAAGACTGTTCCCATGCACACATACACACCATTTTGCGGGACGTTGTTATATTGGACTCAGGGCACCTCAAAACGTTTATTTCTGTTGAAAACTTAGATTCGAAATTTATCACGATCGCAATACTTTCCCTTACTATATACTGCATACATAGGTAAGTGAAAGTAAAAGTGAACAAAATAATATTAAAATGGAACATGATCGGATAAATTTTAACAATAATAAACAATTCTGAATGAGACTTTTCACGCGAATAGGTAAGAAAATTCGTGTGAGGACACACCAGACTTTTGATTAAGGTTTGTCTTGATTTTACTAACATTTTTTTTTACATCAAATTCTGGGGAGAGAGGATGTTATGAAAGGGTTTGTGGCGCTTATCCGAGCGGTCTTAAATTTCAACGTGAGGGTTATATTATTATCTGGTGTAGCGTGTGACCTGAATACCTGGGTCAGGTGTTTTGCAAATTCGTCCGCCTTTTCTTCACCTGTTATGGTCCAGGTGGTGTTTGTATGTCGAGGTGAACAATGGAGAGCACTTCCAGACCTCGCGGGTAAACTCTACAATATTGGTTTTAATAAACTTTCCACTGTAGAGCAGTTTGGATGTACTTAATTTAAATTTCGAAATATGTGGTATAAGCAATATAAATTTTATAAATTAACACAAATCCAAAAATTACATAGGAGTATAGAAAAAAATATAATGGTATTAGTACATGGATAATTCTTTCTAAAAAACACCAGAGGCATGAAAACATCTAATAGATATAAATTAATAAAATATTACACTTTTAAATACCGCAGTTTAAATTTTAAATAATCAAAGATATAAATTTATATAGTCTAAGAACCGAGTTAATTATCATGCAGTGGTAATAGAGTTTCATAAGAAAAATGAAACCGATATTTGACAGCACCTAAGAAGAATTGAAGTACTCGTACCAAAACTGGAGTGAAATAATCCACTTATATGAAAATTGAGTTTGAAGTGTTAAAGCACTATATCAGTAAAATTTTGAAAATTTCTTTCTCTTGTTGAATCTAAATTGGGAGAAATGGAGGATTCACTTCCAAAGCCAGTCTAAAGAAATAAAAAAAAATAAATAAATAAGGTGTAAGCTTTAAAAATGCTGAATATTTTCCTGCCTTACAGTATGCAGGTCCGATTTTTAGATTCTGAAATATTTTAATCCACAACTTTCATAAAATTTGTTATCATATTGATTTTCGACAATATTTCTTTCTCTAGCACGGTTTCGCGTTAAGATACAATTTTGAATAACAACTCATTACAGAGAGGATGAAATATTCCCTCGCTAACAAGATTTTTAGTTTTTGAGATATTGTAATCCATATACAAAAAAACACTTCTAATAGTCGACTTTACTCGAACGTTACACGTCGGAGATCTTAGGGTTCAATTTAATTCACTCTCCACAAAAAAAGAACAAAACGCACCTCAAGAAGTTTTCACTTCTTTTTAATTTTAAAATTTCTAAAAGTTTTTTTAGACTAAAGCTAGTGAGATTGGTTTAGTCTGGTTTTCAACGCTTCAAATATTTCTCAGAGAGTTTAACTCAACAAGATCATTTCCTTCATTAAACTAAAAAGAAATAAACAAGAGATTATCTTGTTAAAAGTATTACTTATACACTTATAGAGGAACGAATGTATGTATTGTTTTCAAATCCCACTGAATTACAATGATGAGAAAATATACCAGAAGTTTTACAATATATTTAAATAGTTCTCTGACGCAAATACACGCATCAACTGTTAAATATTAAAAAGGAATTAATTTTTTTTATAAATATATTTTAAGAAGGCCGCAAGTACAGAACTAATTTTTAAATTATAAAATACTAGTAAATCCACTTTTCTATCTAATATTAATTAGAAGTATAAACGATATTAGGAAATGATATTATTATATATTATATTATATTATTCGAATGACATTACGATAGTGAAAAGACATTTAGTAACATTTTATGATTTTTTTTCAATCATTTTGAAGTGGTTTGAATTTTTGGGGGGCACTGGATTATAGAAATGAAAAGTTTTAAATCAAAAGACAAGTGGATGTGTAGAACATACTGTAGGATGTGTAATTGTATATAATCTAGAGATTTTTAAATTCTACTTTTGTTTTCAGTTTTTAAGAAGAGGAGAGCAATCAAATATCTTGAGAAGTGTGGGGAAGGTTCATGCACCATTGACCTTGGGGGGAGTGGGAGGGCACCCCTGTGTCAAGACAGACCACGGCGGATCTACGGGAGGGGGGGGGATTTCAGGGTGAAGCCCTCCCCCAAAATGGAAAAATATAACCATGTTTAATAGGAAAAAAATTTAAAAAATACCTCTTGAAGTATTATTGTTCGTGTAATTATATTTAAAAGTACTTAAGGAATAGCTTAAACACCATTACATATAGGTAGTTAGTTTCTTTCCGTTTTTCCAAAGTAATTATCGTTATTTTTATGAAAAAAAAAGGTTTCGGGCTGAAGGCCCCCCAAAATTAAATCCTGGATCCGCTAGTGAGCCAGACTAAAAGACCAATGTTTTGTACCATGTTGTTCATAGAGGACTTCAGTCCCAGAATAAAATATTTTTTTCATTCATTCAACTACGAGGATAAGGGGCTTTGTAAGTATATTCACTTGCATTAAATTAAATTATGAAATATGTTACCCCAATTATACTATTATTTATACAATACAAAATGTGTACTTGTATAGTAATTTTGTTATCTATATGAAACAACAGAAGTCTAAAATATCTTTTGATCCCACGAAAGATAACGTGATAACCTTATTTTTAATTAAAAAAAATTAATAACAATAAGTAATTTAAAAACCATTTCAGGCCTTACGGACCACGAGTTGGACACCCCTCTCCTCAACTACAAAGCTATTATAATAAACAATAAATGTTTACACTCATACCTATGTACCTAGTTCTGCCATAAATACTCTTTTCGCCTTTGGGTTCCTCTTGCTTGACAAAATAATACAAAGAGATTCTTGTCATTTGAATGTTAATTTCAATTGCTATTCCAACCATACTTGAACAATACGTTTCTGTTAATCTTGGTTCAAAAACAAGTGTATATTTATTTTCCAGTTTTCAAACAAACAAGTATGAAATTATTTGTAAATAAACGCTTTATTGCCACTTGGCCCAATATTTTCCGACAATTCACAATAACATTTATTTATTATGCGTTAGGTTAAAAAAAATAATAATAAAAATAAGTAAATAATTGGCAAGAATGAAGGCGAACACCACACAAATAAACACATGATGCTGTGTAATTACATTGTGCCCAATAAAATTAAATTTTTAGTTATTACAAAGGATGTAGTGTAGGCCGAATCATTAAAAAGGTGACACGTTTCTGTGGATATGGAATCGGGCGGGCTATGAAATAAGTGGAGGAAAATGAAATAATGGAAGCGAATATACTTGATATTTTTATTATATATTTCATTTCTCTCTTTTTTATTGTTCATATATATTGGTAATTTATCTTATTTTATATCCCAACATTTATATAAATGTTTACAATAAAACTATATTAAAAATATTTTCATTTTAAGTATCGGCTATTTCAATAAAATTAATCATTTGATATATCTTCAAAATTTTCAGCCTTAGATAAATGATGAATAAGAATGTTAAACTGAAAATATATTTTACTTATTTTATGCTACATATCTAATTATCTTTTTAATTCAATAAGTCATTAGAAGCATATTAAAAAAAATAAAGAAACGTGTATTTTCTCATTACTTTGTCATCTTTCGAACGACGAGCGTCCCCTCTAGTTAAAAAAAATAATGAAATATGTGAATAAAATAATGCTTGAATATGAAATAAAATGGATTTCCTATGTCTCAAATTAACAAATTAACAAAGTGATAAATTTCATTAGGTTCAGAACTTGTGTCAAATGTGACACATTTTAATGTGACTTAAACAAAGTCTGACACATGCGGATCTCCGGGGTGGACTTTCGGGCTAAGGCTCCCCCCCACTCCCTCTAAAACGGTAAAATATAACATATTCTTACAAAAAAATATATTATTGATCGTTTTCATAAACCATTTCAAACCATTTCATACAGGTAGTTAGTTTCTTTCTTTTTCTTGCAAAGTAATTATTGTTCTAAATCTAGAGAAAAAAATCTTTCGGGCTGAAGCCTCCACCCTAAGTTAAATCCGGGATCCGTAAATGGAGTGCGATAACAAGTAGGAGAGCAAGGTATTCAAGGCCGAAGGCTTAAGTGCAGACTTTCCATTTCGATTGGGGGGGAGGAAAAAAAAAAAGCAGTAGTTCTTATTATATGTAAAAATTTAACATAATTACTGTGAAAGGAGCAAATATAATATTTGATATTGAAAAATAAATTTATATATTTGCTTGGAAGATGTACAGTTTTTTATGCGCATGTGAAATATATGAACAAAACAATCGGATTTATTACACTTTGTATCCATTAAACATGAAATATAGGAGGACAGCCCTCATAACATAAGCAAACTTCTATAGCTTTTCCAGCTAAATATGAATAATGATAAACAACCTAAAAATATTTTTGATCTCATAGTTTGCGCAACCTTAAAATAAAAATACAATGTTTTCCAAGTCTGACTGTTATGTAAAAATATTCTGTTATATGTGAAAATATTCTGTTTAAAATATATTTATACTCATTAAATATATTTTTCTTAATTTATCGTACAAAATTTATAAGAATATAACGTGAAAATGAAGATGTACACATCAGAGGTGAATGATAAAAAATATCCTAAGATTTTTTTCTATTTAATCATCCCTGAATATAAATGAAAATTTAAATAAATGGAATATTTAGGTCGTGATAAAATAGTTACGTACCTGTTTATAGCCTAACCAGCTAGTCGATTGTTTTTATCGATTTTAGTTTACATATTTTATTTTAAATTATTTTATTTAAAAAGACAGATGTCAGACTTAGATATGAGGCCACTCATATTATGATCAAATACTTTTGTATTATGGAACATTTCATGAATATTGCAAGTTTTGAACACATTTCTCATTCCTTACCCATTAAGTACATGTCCGGGTGTTTATTCTTCACTACAGATTTTAGTTATTTATTATTATTTACTACAGATGATATTTAGCAAATTAATTAATTATAGTTTATGAAGGACTGAGTCAAACGTGAAAAGGACTGAGAGTTTGGAAAAATGTGTTATCAAGTATCTATAAAAAATACCTGAAAAGTTACTTCAACAAGTTCCTCCAGTCCACATGGGTATTTATAGTCACCAATTGAATCACTCAATTAAATTTACATTTGATTCGGTGAGTGAACTTTAGAAACCTAAGTTCATTAATTAGCAACGCCTACTTTTTTTTTATAGAAATGAAAATTGTAATATAATTAAGATAAATAAATAAACATTTTATAACATCAATGTATTTAATTAATTATGACCAATCTAGATTTTCGAAATCGTATAATCTAATAAAGAGGAGTTGGTTGGGATGAGCAGTCACGAGTAAATAAATAAAATTTATTTATTTTTACTATTTTTTTTGGTGAGTGCTCTCCCCAACAAACTCCTTTTCATTATATTCAGGATAGCCAACTATTAATCCACTATCATATAATATATATATATCATTGCCATCGAAATTGTGACGACCTCAATTGTAAGACAGAAACTTCTCCTATTAGAAAACTAACAAACGATTGTTTTTACCAGGAACAAGGAAAACTCATCGACAGTTAATAGAAAGACACATGATCCAATTCCGAAGCAATTAGAACTTCAGAGGTGGAGTTGATCGAAATGTTGGCACCGTTCCAGTTTGGACATGATTCAAGGAAGTTGTGATTTTATACTTTCTTTTGTGAGCAATTTTTTGTAATTGTTAACTTATGAGTAAATGAGATATTTTTGTAAATCTGTCAGAAATAAATTTATATTTTTGTAGTTCTTCGAACTTAACCGCAGTAAAATATATTTTCCTATTTGAAATAGCCATAACTCAATTCTGGTAGAGAATTCTTTCTATTAAGAATGTTCTCGTCAGATCTATTCTAAAATAACGAACTTGCATAGCATGTATTTATTACGTCATTCAGTGGTTGTTTTTTTGTTGTTTAATGTCAGGAAATTCCTTGAGGGAAATAATAATAATAATAATAATAAATTTATTTATTGAGCAATTTTACAAATGCCTTTTGGCATATTTTGTAAATGTGATGTTCGTTAGCGAACCTCCTCTCCGGGATTAGCGTGAATACGTGATTGGAGAAGCCTCCCAGTGAAGGCACTCCTAACGTGACTCCTGACGCAGCAGATATCTGCTCCAGAGGCGCTTGAGTCTCCTTGGTGGATTCTGTGGTAGTGTGTCTGTTAGCAATGTTTGTACAAGTGGATTAGGATGTCCAGCTAAGGAGTCATGGAAACTTTTATAATATTTTTTAATTACATCAGTCACTTGTGATATTTGTAGGTCTTTATGAAGTGATTTATTGGTTATGTAGAAGGAACAATGAGTGATATACCGGAGAAATTTAGATTGGAAAATTTGAATAGTCTGTAAGTGTGTTTTTTTGCATGAACCCCACACCTGAGAGGCATACGTCCATATTGGTCTGAGTAGCATGTTGTATATAGTAATTTTGTTAGAAAGTGATAGTTTGTTTTTATGGTGTAGCATTCGTCTTAGTAGTGATAACCGATGGTCCAATCTCTTTTTTAATGTAGTCACGTGTGATTTCCAGGTCAGTCGTCTGTCCATTGTGAGTCCTAGATATTTTGTCTCAGTATGATTTGGCAAAGGGGTGTTGTAAAGTGTCAGTGGAGGGCAATCCGAACGTTTAAGTGTAAATGTAACCTGGTTTGATTTTTGAATGTTAATTTTTATGCGCCATTTATCAAGCCAGTCTTGTAGAAGATTTAAATGAATCTGTGCTTTCTGAGATGCTGTTATCGGATTAGAGTCAGTCGAGAGTATGACAGTGTCGTCTGCGTAAGTTGCGAGTAATGTGTCTGGTGTCTGTGGAATATCAGAAGAGTAAATTGAGTACAGAACCGGACCTAAAATACTGCCCTGCGGTACTCCCGCGCCGATTCGGCAATAGTCGGAGTATTTACCATCCTGGCTAACAATAAAAAATCTATCCTCAAGATACGATCTGATTATTAAATAATATGTATGCGGAAAGATTGGTTTAATTTTACAAAGTAGACCATCATGCCACACTTTATCAAAGGCCTGTGAGACGTCTAAGAAAGCTGTTGTGCAAAATTCCTTCTTTTCCAATGCCACAGCAATTGTATCAATCACTCTATGACATTGTTGTATAGTAGAGTGTGCAGGTCTAAATCCAAATTGGTGATTAGGAATAACATTGTTTGCTTCTAAAAATGGATAGAGCCGTTTTAATAATAATTTTTCAAATATTTTGGAAAATAAGGGTAAAAGACTGATAGGCCTATAGGACGTGACTTGGTCTAAAGGTTTGCTTGGTTTCGGTATCATTTTTATGATTGAAAATTTCCATACTAGAGGAAAGTAAGTAAGTCGAAGGATAGAATTGTAAATAGCTGTCAGGAAGATTAATGCTTTTTTGGGTAGAAGTCGTACAATTTTAGGTGTGATTAGGTCAAAGCCAGGAGATTTTCTGCGAGGTAATTTTTTAATACAAAATTCTATGTCCGAAGGAGTTATAGGGGAAGGAGGTAGAGAAAGGGGAAGAGGAGAAATTAGGATTTGTTGGACGTCTGAGCAGTGCTGTTGGTCAGGCAACTCTTCATGTGGACGAAATACGTCTGTAAGATGAGTAGCAAATAAGTCTGCTTCCTCTTTATCGCTTCTAGCCCATGAGTTGTCTGGTTTGCGGAGAGGAGTCTTTGTTTGGTGGTACCCTAGTATCTTTCGGGTTTGTTGCCAGAGACTATTGTTACTTGTCTGTAAGGTGGTCAGATGTTTTTTGTAAGTTTCCTGTTTGTATTGTTGTATAAGTTTTCTAAGTTTGTTAGAAAGTGCGTTTAGTATCTGTTTGTCACTGGGATAGCGAGATCTTTTCCATTGGTTGAGAGCACGTCGTTTTTCAATTAGAAGTGATCGTATTTCCGGGGGTAAGTACTGTTTGTCGCGGTTGGTCTCGTACTTGTGTGATGATTGCCAAGCGGCAGTTTGTACAGTCTTAGTAAGCGTCTCTACTGCATTGTCAATATCATTTTCCGTCTTTAATCTTGTGTTTAGATCAATAGTCTTATTAATAATGGAATGAAATTTATCAATTAATATTGGCCCAGGAGTTAGTGTAGGTGTGTGGTTGATAGTAAACATGTGTCTAGAGAGAGATAAAATAACCGCTGAATGGTCTGATGATAAGTCGTTACTAATAGAGATATGATGGTGTAGTGTGTGTAGGCTAGAAGTTATAAAGAAATCAAGTAATTCTGGTTGACGGTTTATGTCTGTCGGCCAGTAAGTCGGTTCAGGTGGTAGTATGCAGTTATAGTCCAGTTCTATACATGTATTAAAAAGAGAGTTTCCTCTAGAATTATTGGTCCTATTGCCGAAACGGGCATGCTTGGCGTTAAAATCGCCTCCACATAAGAATTTAGGTCCTAAGCTGCCAAGTATGTCTGTAAACGTTTCTTGTGAAACTCTTTGTCTCGGAGGACAATATGCACTGGCAATAGAAATTTTGGTGTGATCGATTTCAACCGAAATAGATGATAATTGAATTTCTGGTAAGGCAGTCATTTGAAGAGGATAGTGGTATAATGTTCGTTTTACGACTATTGCCGAGCCACCACGGGCAGTACCGCTGGGATGGTCAGCGCGGTACAATACATACCCTTGTATGTAAAATGTTGTAGTTTGAGTAAAATGAGTTTCTGTTAGTAATGCAATGTCAATGTCATTTTCATGTAAATAAATGTCAAGTTCATTCCTTCGGTGTAGGGCTCCATTTGAATTCCAAAGAAGGATTTTTAGAGAGTGTTGTGAGATAGAATTAGGGACTAACATGAGGAATAAATTTGGTAATTAGCGTGGTGAGAAGAGTGATGAGCGGAGTTATCATAGATTTAAAATCGTTTAAGAAGGAATTAAAATATAATGAGAGATCTGGAGTATTAGGTTGTGTATTAGATGTTGTGTGATGAGGTCTTGAGTATGAGGTTGACGTGTATTGATGCGGTATGTATTGAGATTGGGTATAATGAGGTACTGAACGGTCAGGGATTATACTCGTTTGGTTTATTGAGTGCTGAGGAGTTATACTTGTAGTATGAGAAGTAGTGTATTGAGGAGATACATTTGGAGTTCGAGGATCTGTAATTTGAGGAGTCGTATGATGAGGAATGGTATTGTGAGGAGATATATTTGAAGTTTGGGGATTTGTAATTTGAGGAGCTACATGATGAGGAATGATATTGTGAGGGATTACATAACGAGAAGATTCATTTGAAGTTTTGGGATTTGTAATTTGAGTTGTATGATGAGGAGCTATATTGTGAGAGATTGCGTAGTGAGGAGTTACACTCGTTGTTTGAGCAGTTGTGAATTGTGGTGTTGTGTTGTGATATGTAGTTTTAGTACACGTTGCCTGTGCGTAAGTCGTGTTGTGTAGTTTTTGCGAGATAGGGACGGTATAAGTAAGTCGGTCGTGTTCCGCCTCTGGAGGCAGGTGTTCTGTTACCTCTCTACTCGAAGTGGCCTGGTTCCACACGTTGAGTCTTCTTTTCTGCAGCTCTAGATGCACTATGCATCCCCTATAGTTCGCAGGATGATTGCCACTGCACAACGCACAAACAGGTGGCTCTTCAAGTGGTTTCTGGCACCTATCACTAGGATGATCTTGACCGCACTTCACACATCGTGGTTTATGATGGCAAAATGTTCTGGTGTGCCCGTATTCTTGGCATCTCATACATTGAACAATATTTCTTCTTTTGAACGGTGCTTCTATCCTAACTCTTGTGTAAGCCAAGTTAGAGATATTTAAAACTACAGCATTGTTTGGAGCTGGCTCTAAGTCAACAAAGAAGAGTGGGAGTGGTTCTTTTGATCTCGGGTGTAACACATTAGTGATGAGACGGATGTTGAATCCTTTTCTTTCAAGGTCATATCTTATCATTTCGTGTGGTGTTGAATAATGGAGATTTCTAATAACAAACCTATATGGTTTGTCTTCTTGGGATTGATAAGTGTGAAAGTTGTAATTGTTTGTTTCTAAATATTTAATGCAGACTCTATAGGCTTCACTTGTTTTAATTTTTAATGTAACAATCGATTTGTTAGAGAAACATTCAAAATTATTTTCTCCTAAAAGGCTTACTAAATTCGTGCAGAGAGTTTGGAAGTTTGTTATGCCTTTTATTTTAATTGGAGGTGGTTGATGAGTAACTATTGTTTCGTCAGGTTCGTCTTCCATTTCCGTAGAAAGAGGTTCAAACCTATTACTGACCGGAACGTTAGGGATACCATTTATTGTTGATGGTGCATTTGTTGCATTTGAACTCTGAACAACATTTTCTGGTACTCCAGTGTTGTTAGCATCATGTTCTAGTATAGATTCAATGATATGGGTCGCAGAGTTATTATTTTCAATAATTAAAGTATTCATTTCAGTATTCGTGGAGTTAGGGAGGTTATGTGAATTAACATATGTTTGCTTTTGGTTACGATTTTTTGATGTTGTTTTTATCACAGAATTGTTTGAACTCGCTCTCTTTTTCTCATTTGTCCCGTCTTTCGATGAAATACTTGAAGTGGATCTTACCTTTCTCTTCAGCAGTTTTGACAAAACGGCCTGATCCGACAGTCCACTCGAGCCAGCTAACTGGCGTGCACTCATAAGTAAAGTGTCTGTTTTCACTTTAAAAAAAAAACTATACAAACAGATTATTCCTTTAAAGAGAACACATTTTCACTATAAGACACATGGGTAAGAAAGATAGCAAGGTTATCTGTCCCTGGAAACCAGACACACGAAAGTAAATAAACTTATTTTCTCGGAAACCAAACAACAGCGGGCCTATTGTACTGAGATCAAAGCCGCAAACCGCGATGTGCACCCTTCGAAGGCTGGAAGGGAACTAGGGAAATAATAGATGATGAATCTGCTTGAACCATCCTGGTTCAAACGAACTCGTTAGAAATCGGACGACAGCATGGTTTTGGTGTTTTCAAACAGCCACACCACTAAACAGTAGACGTTCGGTCACTGAAAGAGTCATTATGAGAAATCCTTTCTCACCAAAACCCTTTTGAATCATTAGTGAGATACCACACGTACAATAAAATTTCATGGTAGGAAGTGTGTGTGCCATCGCACCTGGGATAAGACGTTCGGTCACTGAAAGAGTCATTATGAGAAATCCTTTCTCACCAAAACCCTTTTGAATCATTAGTGAGATACCACACGTACAATAAAATTTCATGGTAGGAAGTGTGTGTGCCATCGCACCTGGGATAATGAGTACTTCTGTTTTAAAGTATGTTAATTCCCTAGAGTACAATGTAGTAATATCGTTACATTAACAATGTGCTCAGCCTTTTTGCTCTGAACAAAATCGAGAGCTGGAATTTCATAATTTTAAGCAGATGAAATTAGTGGAAGAAGTTTATCTTCTCAAAATGATATTCAAGCGGACAATTATCCACTAGGAAATCCTTCATTGTTCTCTACTCTTTACTACGATTAGATACAGTATAGTCCTTTCCTTATCGATTTTACATCAAGGACTTTATAATTATTTAAAATGAGTATACATTGTAGTCCGTTATACAGACCCCTTTTTATGAAATTATTAACATCCGGCTGAAACATCGTAAATATCTTCATCTCGTCGTAACCTACAAACGTAACGTACAATTTTTTTTTTTTTTTTTTTTTGTTCTTCCCTACCTCGCCTTTTAGGCTATACGGGATTTTCTCGGGCCGGGGGATGAGGGCGGGGAATTTAAAATCCCCTCCGGCACCGGGACGCGAACTCGTACTTTTTATATCATCTAAAATCTCTGTTATCCGGTTGCCAGGCAACTAGCGGTGTTGTGCACAGGCTTTAGCCTATTCGGCCACCCCGCCCCCACGTAACCTACAAATATGTTATTTACGAAAATTCTCGGAATTGGGGCGTTTTCAATCAGGAGGACGGTAAATTTTGTCTATTTAATCAGGTATTAAATACCCATTAGTTCCCACTTGGATTGTAAGATAACATGGTCACAAAAAAAAATCTGGTATGCGCAGCACACAACTTCCACTTGCCGCTCGACTTGGAATAGAAATTATTTTTTGGCAATGCTGGGATATTATAAAATGTTTGAAGTGCATTTTAAACGGAGCTAAAGCTTAAAGCTTACAGATAACAAATCATTACTACCATTATAATTACAAAAATCTGGTGCACGCAACATACTACTTTCATTTACTGCTTGAGCAAGGTAAGATCAAATTGATTTTGAACATAAATTATTTTCTGGCCATGTTGGGCTACAATAAACTATATTAATTGCATTCTTAACCGAGCAAAAGCTAAAAAATTACAGCTAACAAATCATAAATACCATTAAAACAACAAAAGTCCTATTTATTTTATCACACTTGATTATGGATTGTACGACTGTTAGATATTATACAGTTATTTTCCATTGCAGTGTTTACTAAAACGGAATTAAGAGATTTGCATTGTCTGTCATAGACAGGTCAAAAGTTGTCAGACTAATTGCAAGTGGATACTGTTGGAATATCACAAAAGGAAATTTCATCAAACTATTCACTAATTTAATTTTCTAAAAGGTTACATGATGATTTTTCGGAATAAACGGACGATAGATACCTAAATATTTAAATATAATATCAGATCTAGAGTTATTAAACTGCAGTAGATGTATTTAAGGTTATAAACATATACTTTATACATCCATGAAATGATTTTATATTTTACTTCTTCTTTCACACAAGTACATTGAAATATTTTTTAAACAATGTCATTGTCTCGATTAGGTGGATTATAAATACGTTTTTCAAACTTAAAAATATTTTAAAAATTAACATGCATTAGTAAATTTCATTTAATTTCCTTGAAAACATGTGATTTACGTTAAATACAATTAGTTTTCAAAAATTATTATTTTTTTGCCACTCTCCGTTATCTCCTAAAACATTCTATATTAGACATTGTTTTTTTCTAAAATTCTCCGCTTTCCAACGATATATTACAGGTATACCATCTGAGTTGTATTTTCGGAGATTCATTTTCGACCTGGATAAGCATTTTTATCTTTTTCTCCTTCATTCGATTATCAAACTCTTTCAAAAGTTATATTTAGCATTTTTTCGTAACTCTAAATAATGTGAGATGATTAATTATTTGAAATAAACCATATTAAAGGTACTTCAGAGGAAGACGTAAATGAACATTGGGCAGTTAAGCCCCGTAAAGTGATATCAATGGAGGTAAGACCTGATTGATCTTAAAGAGCACTTAATTATATAATGGTACACCAGGTATAATCAAAATCGTTATAGCTGTTTATGAGAAAATTGTAAAAATATGTTTCAGCGTTGATATAAAGTGGCACTTCCGGTGAGCCAATCTTCACGAAAAAGTTACTGTCACATCTAAGGCATGTAACTATCTTAAACACGTAATATTAGTTTCGAACGATTTTTCGTTTTTCAGCTAGACTGCTAACTTACACACACACAGACTATTTTTCGGGACTTGGTAATTTGGGCTCAGATTAAATAATTTTCACGATCGCAATCCTTACACTTACTATACATTATATCTATTTGTAAGTGAAAGTAAAAAGTGGCGGTTCGATAAAAATATTGAGCCTTTTGGCCTACATATCCTCGTTATTTTGACAATTTGGGGGTGTAGGTCACGCCAAATGGTTCAATACTTTTAAAGGCCACCTTCTTTTTGGACTTGGTGCTCAAATTATCTTACGATTCCAGTGGAAACGAAATGGGTATTTGCGAGTTTTTAGCACCTAATTAAACAGATCAAGTTTGCCAATCTCCAGATTAAAAACGACCCAAATCCGAGAATTTTCATAAACAAAATATTTGAGGGTTACGATTAGATGAAATTACTTCGAAATTTCCGGCTGATGTTAATAATTTTATAAAAAGATGTCTGTACCACGGACTATTAGTGGGCAGGATTCCTTACCTTTATCATTTTATTGGGCGGCATGAGTTCAAAAAGTTAAAAAATCTAGATCACGCCTGGCTGTTGATTAGATGCTGTCGTGCGTACGATCGTGAAAGCCTACAGGTGTGTGCCGTCACATAGCACCAGACGGCATCACGCACTCCTACGTGACTTGCATCCTGTGGTAAACCTTTTTTTTTTTTTGTTTCTATTCATCCACACTATCACATTCCAACTCTCTTAAGAAAGTATAGTAACACAACATTCACAGAATCTCTTGCAGAGCGATTTAACGCTCGAAATAATTGATATTGAGTTTGAAGAACAGAGTCTGTTCAATTTTAGAAGAATTGAGCGACAGATGGTAGAAACGTTATGTTCCATCGATGGCACATAGTATATGAAAATTGAAACAATCAATTTAAAATAGCCGATAATATTAGTCTAAAGTTGAAAATATTCAAACAGGTAGACAGGATTTATGCAGTTTGGAGTTCAAAGTAAGCTTTGGTTGACAGGAACCAATACATGTTGCAACACTACAATGCCTCTGCAGACCGATCTCGTTTGACCATGGTAAATTATCGGAACTCCAAGTTCCGCCTTCTCCTGCATTTTACACCATCGGATTATGGTTTCTTTAGATCAATGGCTCATTTTTTAAAAGGTCGGATCTTTTGAAATTACGAGGACGTAAAAATTGGATGTGAAGAGTTCTTTGCCTCAAAACCAATGTAGTGGAAGCGGCATCAAATCCAATTACAGGCAGAAAGATGGGTGAAAGTAGTTGAAAACAAGGGATTTTACTCCGAAGAGTAATATTCAATAATGTTTAAAATATGTAATATGAAATAACTCTATACATATGGATAAGGATGTTTGTAATATCTTAGTATTATTAATCTATTTGTTCGGATAAGAATAATGAAGTGTATAAATGTTGTTTATTTTAGTCAATTAAAGTAACGAATTCGAAGAACAGAAAAAAAAATTATAAACAAATTCAGAATAACAAAATATAAGCGTGATAATAATTTTTGAAAAGGCGTTTTATCTTTTAATAGTGAGCGGTACAGAAATAAACTACTTATTGATTCCAATTAGATGTAAAGCATCAAACGTATCTTATTTTTGAAGCAAACAATTTTGCTCAAGGGAAGGCCGCGAATTATAATAAACAATGGTAGCCCCTTCTCATAAAATGCATGTCATACTAATCGTCTTAAATTTAAATATCCAATAACTGATTACACGTTGGTGATACGCATGCCGACTATATCTAGCAACTATTCGATCCATTTCCAGGGTTTTTTATCCAGTCGAAGCCATAGTACCCCGACCGCAGGCCGAGTGTCCTTGTACATCAGACGGAAGGAAAGGGACTTACCTCCAATTAGAGGCAGGTAAAAACCGCCCGTCCCACGTCATCACTTGGAAACCAACTAGTCCCGAAACAGCCATCAATTCCAGCCCATCCCCTTCTCTGCCCTCCTCACAATAACCTGGGCGCTTACGGACCACAGCATCACCCAAGGTAAAATATTGTTCATAGTCAACAAATATTTGACTAACATATAAGTTGTGAGGAAGAAAACACATCGATAGCGTTTATAAAAATATATATCCTGACAAAATATAAGTCATTTTCATTATATGCTTAAAAAGTTTCTGTAACATCCCAGGCATA